CCAGAGGACGTAGAGGCAGCACCAGGCCTGGCATTAAACATCTCTACGAGTTTCTGTCTCTGACCCACCGGGGTGGTGCCATCCATTTTGAGGTAGGCGTAACCCGCAGCGGACAAGTACTTCTCAAGAATACGCAACATCTGTAACGGCAGAGGATTTAAACGTCGTCAGATCTAACTGTCTTTTGGGCAAAGTACGTATTAGCCGCAAAGAATATGAGCAGAGGGAAATGTAAATGAGGAACACTTTACAAGCAATAAAAATAGAGAAGATAAGAAAGAGAGTAAGTTATCAGGATCTACACACAGGTGTATCGACTTTTGGCTGGTAGTTAGGCCGGGGGTATGATAAGTTAACTATCATGTGTAACCTGATATATCTCAGAAGTGCCCTATAACAAAGCACGGCCGACCAAGAACCGTTAAAAGAAAAGCTCAAACGGTGGAGAGAAGTAAACAAAAGATGAGGGACAGACTTTATATAGACGGTGAAAATTAAGCTCGTGGCCAAACCCTAGATACGCCTAGCCCCAGAATTCTGTCTTACGGGACCGGTGGTATTAGTCTAGTTTTTAGGTTAATTTTAGCGATGCATTTAGTTTCATTAGTTTAGTTAAGTGTGGCTTAGTTTAGTTTGGTATATAGCAGTTATTTAAGTATATTGACCTAACGTTGACCGTATCTAACTAAGCTAAGAACTAAAGTAAACTAAACTAAAATCAAACTAATAAACTACATCAAAACTGACAAAACTAAAAGTAACCACAGGACTAGGGGCTAAGGGTATCTAAGGTGAACGACCAAGTAACGAGTGGCGGAAAAGAAAACGATCGAAAGCCGAAATGACCAAAGAGACTGACCATTAACGTGGACGGTATTTGCAAATGATGCGGAAATGGTGCGGCGGTAAGCAAGAACATATTTTCGAGGAATGTATTGTTTAAGGCTAGGGTATAAGTAAAAGGCTTTGGTTAGAGCAGTCAGCGGGACTCAGGGCGGAGAAAAAATAGATGACATAGACAAATCATAGTAGTTACCCTGCGACTTTGCGTAAACACCAACGCCTTGTGTCCCTGCTGGTACCACAAACGAAGAAGCTCCAGAGTGACCATGAGTTTTCCTGAGCGTCTGGGACAACCAAACTGCTCCCAGGCCATTTCGGCACGACTGTCCGGCGGGTCAAGGCTCAACTTGCCGGCCAACAAATCATCCTGATCTTCGCCATTTCGCATGCCAAAGTGTCGAGGGCCACCGGTGACGAGGTCAGGATGATTGCACAGGGCTTTCAGCAGGATAAGCCCCTTGAAGACGAGACCCTTGCCATTGAGAATTTCGGTACAGGCTCTCGAGCAGAGGTACTCCTCGTACACACTGCGCTGATAGTTAGTCAGACGACAGAAGAGGACCTGAAATTTGAGAGGGGGGAGGCAAGAGGCAAGGAAAACTGTTACATGAACGTCAGGGGAATGGTTGTGACCAAAACAAACCATGTCACACAATAAACAGGAAGAGTATACATATATAATAGGCAGGAAGAACTGGGCGGCTAACGTACCTGTTCAGACTTTTTAGGCAATTCCAGAAGGACTTCTGATTTCAGGCGACGCAGAAGGAAGGGTGCCAGTAGATTTCTAAGGGTACAGGCACATCGGTAAGCGGTTTCGACCTGGGTCAAAAAACGGCAAGAGTAGAAGTTAAGAGAGTTCAGAAATATACATCCGACAGAGACAAGGGAGACTAGAACGGCCATTTTTGGCCTATTAGCCGTAATAAGCTAGTCAAACCCAAGCCCAGAGGTAGGTGCCTCCGAGGTTAGAACCCACAATCTTGTT